CAGCAAGACATCTTTGTCCTTTATTCCGACACCCAGGTTTTGCTGAAAATTCTCCTCTCTCAATTTACAGGCATTCAGATAAATATTCTGCCTTCCTATTTTTGCTACCAAGGTGGAGGGTTGTTTTCGGGCTGAAGGCTTGTGACCAGCGGTGTTCCACAGGGATTGGTGCTGGGTTCACTATTGTTTGTCATTTATATAAATGATTTGGGTGAGAATTTAGGAAGCATGGTTAGCAAGTTTGCTGATGATGCCAAAATTGGTGGTATGGTGGATGGTGATGAAGGTTATCAAAGAGAGCAAAATTTAATTTAGATAAATGTGAGGTGTTGCATTTTGGTAAGGCAAACCTGAGCAGGACTTAAACAGTTAATGGTAGGGCCTTGAAGAGTGTTGCTGAACAAAGAGACCTGGAAGTGCAAGTGCATCGTTCCTTGAAAGTGGAGTCGCAGGTAGACAGGGTGGTGAAGGAGGCATTTGGCATGCTTGCCTTCATTGGTCAGAACATTGAATATAGGAGTTGGGATGTTATGTTGCAATTGTACATGACATTGGTGAGGCCCCTTTCAGAATTCTGCATACAATTTTGTCACTCTGCTATAAGAAGAACATTATTTAATAGAAAAGGGTACAGAAAAGATTTACAGGAATGTTGCTGGGACTGGAGGGTTTGAGTTATAGGGAGAGGCTGAATAGGATGGGATTTTCTTCCCTGGAACACCAGAGGCTGGGGGATGACGTTATAGAGGTTTATAAAATCATGAGGGGCATGAATAGAGTGAATAGCCAGGGTAGAGGCAGGTACAATTACCAAATTTAAAAAGCATCTGGATAGGTGTATGAATAGGAAGGGTTTAGAGGGATATGGGCCAACTGCTAGCAAATGGGACTAGATCAGATTGGGATGTCTGGTCGGCACAGACGAGTTGGACCGAAGGGTTTGTTTCCATGCTGTATGACTCCATGATTGGGCCAAGGAGTGGGAGATAGAGTTTAATTTGTATAAATGCGAGGTGTTGCATTTTGGTAAGACAAATAAGGGCAGTAGAGCCCTGGGGAGTGTTTTTGAACATAGAGACCTAGGGATTCAAGTACATTGTTCTTTGGAGTTGCATCACAGGGAGATAAGGTGGTAAAGAAGGTGTTTGGCATGCTTGCCTTCATTGCTCAGACGACTGAGTATTGGAGTTGGGACGTCATGTTGCAGTTGTACGGGATGTTGATGAGGCCACTTTTGGAGTACTGCATACAGTTCTGGCTGCCTTGCTATAGGAAGGATATTATTAAATTGGAGAGAGTGCAAAACAAATTTACAAGGTTGTTACTGGGACTGGAGGATTTGACTTATAAGGAGAGGCTGGGACCTTTTTCACTCAAGCTTAGGACATTGAGCGGTGACCTTATGGAGGTTTATAAAATCTTGACGGTCATAGGTAAGGTGAATAGCAAAAGTCTTTTACCTAAGGTAGGGAAATTCAAAACTAGAGGGCATAATTTTAAGGTGAGAGGAGAAAGATTTAAAAGGGACCTGAGGGGCAACATTTTCCTGCAGAGGGTGGTTCGTATGTGGAATGAACTGCCAGAGGAAGTGGTGAATGCAGTTTCAACATCGAAGATATTTGGACAGGTATATGAATAAGAAAGGTTTAGAGGGGTATGAACCAAACAAATGGGACTAGTCTAGTTTGGGAAATTTGGTTGGCACAGACGAGTCAGACTGCATGGTCTGTTTCCCTTGCTGTCTGACTCTATGACTGTAACCTCACATTTATTCACATTATATTGCATCTGCCATGCATTTGCTCACTCACCAAGCCTGTCCAAATCTCACTGCAATACCTCTGCATCCTTCTCACATCTTCCACCCAGCTTTGTCTTATCTGCAAATTTAGAGATATTACATTTAGTTCCCACATTTAATCATTAACATATGTTGTGAATATTCAAGGTCTTCATATCGATCCTCGCAGTAACCCACTAGTCACTGTCTGCCATTCAGAAAAAGGTTCATTTCTTCTTGTTTTTTCCTGTTTGCTAATCAATTTTCTAGTCATCTTGATGCATTAACCCTGATCCCATGCGCTTTTAATTTTACACATCAGTCTCTCATGTGAGACTTTGTCGAAAGCCTTCTGAATATCCAAATAAATCGTACTCAGTGGCTCCCCAATCAACCCTACCACTAATATCCTCAAAGAATTCCAATAGATTTATCAAGCATGATTTCCCTGTTGTAAAATCCGTGCTAATTGTGCCTCATTCCCCCACTTATTTCTAAGTAGTTTGCTAAAAAATTCTTGATAATGGACTCAAGCATCATCTGAATGATTGATGCCAAATTCTATAGATCTATAGTTCGCTATTTTTGGTCTACCTACCTTTTTAATATTGGGTTATATTAGTAACCCTCCAATCTGTAGGAACTGTTCCAGAGTCTACAAAATCTTGTGAGATGACCACCAGTGCCTCCATCATTTCTCGGGCCACTTCCTTCAGATCTGCCTTCTTGAGAGTGAACCCAAGGAAGGTGACTTGGCCTGGCCGTGCACTCAGATTCTGTGTGGACTAGCTAGCGGGAGTATTCACTGACATTTTATCCTCTCCTTGCTACAATCTGAAGTAACTGCCTGCTTCAAGAAGACCACCATCATCCTGGTATCAAAGAAAACACATGCAACGTGCCTCACACTACCACCCGGAGACTCTGACCTACATAATTATGAAGTACTTTGAGAGGTTAGTCATGCCTCATATCAACTTTAGTCTCCCAGCCTGACTCAATCCCTTGCAGTTTGCCTACCAGCGCTACAGTTCCACAACAGACCCCATTTCCTTAGCCATATGTTCATCTCTGAAACATCTGGATAATAAGGATACCTATTTCAGGCTTCTGGTCATCAACTACAGCTCTGCCTTCAACACTATAATCCCAACAAAACTAATCTCCAGATTCTGTTACCTGCTCAGTTCCATCCTCTGCAACTGGATCCTCAACTTCCTGATCCATAGACCGCAATCATGAAGCACCTCCTTCATGACAATCCTCAACACCGGTGCCCTGCAAGGATGCGTAATCAGCCCTCTACTCTACTCCTTGTACACTCAAGACTGTGTGGCCAAATTTGATTCGAACTCCATGTACAAGTTCGTTGTAGGCCAGCTATCACACAATTATGAAACAGAATACAGGAAGGAGATAGAATGCTTGGTGACATAGTGCAAAGATAACAATCTCTCCCTCAATGTCAGCAAAACTAAAGAGCTGATCATTGACTTCTGGAAGCAATGTGGAGGACATGCCCTATCTACATCATCGGAACTGAGGCGTAGATGGTCGAGAACATCAACGTCCTGGGAGTGACGATAACAAACAATCTGTCCTGGACCATCCATGTCAATGTGATGGTCAAGGAAGCACAACGAGGAGGCTAAGGAAATTTAGCATGCCCATAAGGACCCTCACCAACTTTTACAGATGCACCATAGAAAGCATTCTACCTGAATGCGTCACGATTTGGTACGGTGACTGCCCTGCCCAGGACCGTAAGGAACTACAGAAAGTTGTGTACACAGCCCAGGCCATCTCACAA